TTGACCTGATGATGGCGCTAGCAAGACAGACCACCAAACCCATATTTCTGCTAGTGTGAGGTAAAGTATTTAAATTTCTACCAGTAGTCCAAAACATAATTATATTAATTTACAATCATATGAAACATACAAAAGCAGCAAACTGCATTTGAAAAATTGGATTCAACAAACGTCTTTAAAAAATGAACAAATCAAAAATGTTGCCAAATAATTTTCCGATTATCAAAGTAGTTAATTGACTAATTGTTTCAACCTATGAGAAAGTGTTCCTTCTACTGGAGAGGCTGGATTGTATATAGAAATTCACCATTACGTCACAAAGCAGTATGCTTAAGAGTCATGTGATTTTAACTGTTGATTGCTAATGTTAAGCAATTGTAGGTCATCACCATCGTGATCTCTTGTGAAATAAGAATCATGATGCTGAAATTGCTCATTCGGAAATCAAAGCCAAACATTAATTGAGGTAAATGTACTTCTTTAGAAAAATAGATCTACAGAGAGCCTTGAGATTGAGTCTAAATGGTTTTAGATGAGGCAATGACCTCACTAGTGTAACCCACACCACTAGTATTTACATAATGTGTAGATTTTCACTCACAGTTCACGATAGTAATTTCACAAAATAATTAATCTTTTCATTTCACATATCAAAGAGGCACTTGTCACTGGCCTGTGCTGTCAGATGGCACTATGATTCACACACACACACCCACATCACACTGAAATGTGCAATTGTCCACACACTTTTTGTTTCCCCGTAATATTGAATGAAGGCCAGTGAAAGGTTTGTGACAAAAGAAAAAGTTTGCTGTAATCAGAGCTCAGCAGTGACTTGTAGTAGTTCTGTCATATTCATTACCAGCAGGTGCCGAGTCGTGTTAGAGCTTTTCCTGATGAGATCCATGACTCATGTCAAAGTTCATACTCATTCACGAGATGACGGCAGTCATCTATGCCAGTGTGACCCTGTTAGAGAGATAAATCAGTGTGAAATAGTGCATTGGATTCTTGGTGTGTATGTCAGAAACTGTGATGTGCTGCACAGAATTCAGATGAATCAAGCTGTCTTACTAATACAGTGTTGCCTTTGAAAACAGTCACTTACAGAGCTCATCTCTCTGCACACCGCAGTCCTGGCTCTAATTTTAATAACTACCTTTTGAGTAAATGGGGAAAAAAAGGCTACAAATGTTTGCTGAAACATTGTGAATACTCAACCTATTAACCATTGCCATGTACATATGTCATGACTCTTCACATCAGTGCTGCTCTATTAATTATATTTATTTTAACGTTAGCTCATCAGATGTGTAATATGAAAGGTGAAGTGATGAACCCAACCAAAATTATGATCCAATTGTGCATTTCCCCTTAAACTTAAGGGATCTTTCTAATGTATTTCAGTTTATTTATTTGGTTTTGCTGTCTGCAGCTTTACTGTTCAGTCTCACCCTACCCACAGTACGCTTTGTAACAGATTATGTAATCTGAACCCAGTATTTAATACATTTCCCACATTTGTCATGAATTATTACGTATTGTGGTGGCTTTTACAAAATGTGTGAGTTGCCCTATCAAAAGACCACTGCAGTGGTCAACCCTGCTAGAAAAAAGGGCATGAATGAGTTTTTCCAGGTTGGTACTTGACATGAAGTCCATGCGTTTGGCTGTATTTGTAAGAAGCAATATGTTGTTACTGCTTTCATGTAACTATTTAGACAAAGATCAGAGTCAACTATAACACCAAGGGTCAGGTCATAGGAGTCTCCTTTTAATATTTGGGAAGTTTAATTTAGGTTAATTGTTAAAAATACAACATGTACAGATGAAGTCATCAGTTTTTATTTGTTATTACATAATGAATTATATTATTATGCATGTTATTTTTTAATAACCACCATATGTGATAAATGATTACAAAACATGAAATGAAATGTAATAATGTATTACATATTGCTTTCATGCTGGTTATTTCAAAATCCGGCAGAAATTATTACAAAATGTGCGTGTTACATTTTGTCGAACCATTACATAATGTGGTGTTATTCCATAAAGTGTTGTTTTAAGTGTGTCAGTTAGTTAAAAACTTTACTGGTACTGGGATTTGAACATCAACTCTTCCAAGCCCGTTTTTACGGCTTCTGTTTTATCTTACATGATGAGCCACAGGAAACGTTACACATTTAGACACGTTACAGTTGGGAGGTAATATGGAAAGCAGAAGCTTAGCCACAGGCAGAAGGTGCACCACCTAAGTTACTCAAGACCTGCATGGTGGCGCTGCTTCTCTCGTGGCAACATATTAGCTTTATCTTAAAGGTAGATTTCACACTTTCAACAGTTTCAGCTTCCTGCCAGTTAGCGACTAGCTGGTGAGCATAGTGGAGCATTTAGGAGCTAAAGAGTCATATATTTCCCGCAGGACTTGGGGGAGACCAAATCAGAGCTATAAGGAAAGTGAATGTTGGACTTACATTTGTCAGGGTCCATTATTCATTATTACACGTTACCACATTACTTATCAATTTCTGACTATGTGTCATTATGTACTATAGTTTCGTTAAGACATAACGAGTAAACCCAGTCAATATGTTTGTTAAAGCAGATAAGAGTTCCTTTCATATTTGCTTTACTTAACCCATGTGGACATAACAGCAGATTAAAAGACATATAGTCAGGTCACTTCCTGCAGCTGACTGACTTACTGTAACTGGAGCGATAGCATCAGGTCCACTGTCGTCCTGCTCATCCTTCTGAGCAACACACTGATTAATCTTGTACTTGTCACACTCTCACGTACTGAGCAATTTACATGAAGAGCTTTCTCCTTAATCTATTCTTCTCTAATCTCATTCCTCTTCACAAGCCTTTCTTCCCGTTTCCTCATTTAGATTTGTGCTTTCTGCCAGTGAATGTGGAAGTGTGAGGTGATGAATAAAGAAAATAAAGAAAAGGATTAATGGCATTGGCAGCCAGATGTGGATGAGTCCCTTCAAATGACAGATTGCACATTTTGTGTGTCTTGCTGTGCAGAGCCAAATTCTCCTCTTAATATTAAAGGATTGGCATTTGTTTAGGAGTTTGATGAGAAGATTAATGTAAATTTAATCGCTACATGTTGAGTAGAGAGATAGAGGACATGTTGTAAGCTTAGCCCAAGCAAGCTAGAGAAAACAGCTAGCTCCATTAAAAGAAAGAAGAAAAGAAAAATCCTAGTTTTTGGTCTCTACTGAGCTTAAATCTTACTTAGTTTGTCGCTAAATTTGTTTGTCTGCTGTTTGGTGCTGGGAAGGTCTCGTACAATGGTTTGAGCTTGAAAACAACTGCCTACTGCATCAGGAAACAGTGCTGATGACAGCGTTGAGACTAAATGAACAAAGTCAAATTGCGGGTCGAAAAACAAAAACAATGAGCTGAAACGCTCCGTAGAATGCAGAGGTTGTCACAAGGAGTGACTTCTTTCTCATACATAATGTTATTTGATTTATTCTTAATATAAAAATATTGACTAGATCGGCTTTAATTTTAGTTCTTATGCTATTGTTTTATCGTTTTATGGCCCCTTTTATGGTCTTTTTTGATATTGTTTGAGTTGATATTTATGGTTTTATTTTGTTATTTTCTGGGTATATCTTTCGTAAACAGCGTTGGTTGATAAGGTTGGGAATCTCCCTGATTTTATGGATGAATAAATTGAACCTTGTACCTTGCAGTCTTTGTGCTTACCTTAGCTAAACATGTACTTGAGCTAGATAATGACACAAAGATGAAAATGAAAGTAATTTTCTCATCTAACTCTGTGGAAGACAGCAAAATAAGGAAATATCCCCACATTTTGGAGTGCCGGGGCATCAACTTTAGACTGACAGCTCATGGCCTGAGCCAGATGCACTTAATGAAGATTCATCCTCCGTATGGCATCTGGTGTGAAATATCTAGCTGCTTGAAAATGGCTGCCAGTATTGTATTTGTCTCTTGCTCAGCCCTCTCAAATTCACACTCATTTCACATCACACCATGTGTTTGTCACTCACCACAGATTCTAGATGTGCGTAATGTCATGGTGGTCGTGTCCCGATGGTATGGAGGTATTTTGTTGGGTCCTGACCGCTTCAAACACATCAACAACTGTGCGAGAAACATCCTGGTAGAGGAAGGATACACTGCCTCCACGGTAAGACACTCTCTGGGCCTCTTACAAATCACTCTGTCGTCTTCCACTGACACATCATCAGTCAAATTTGACTTTGCTGTCAGTTTTCTGATGCTGGGAAACACCTGATGTCTTGTAGTTTAATTGACAGTTACTCCAATTATCTGAAATATTTTGATATTTTTTTGTGCCTATTTTGAGTCCAAAAGTCAGGAGAGGAGACTACACAGTCAGTGTATAGTTACAGATGATAGTGAGACATAGATTCATTGTAAGTGTCTGTTCGGCTTGCTTTGTGTTTCCACAGTAACTCTTCAGTAGCTGTCACATTAGGGATATTGGTACATTTGAAGTGTCTGGTTGCCACGTTTTCTGGAGATCAAACACTCTCTCCTTGCTTTCAGCAGGCTGAGGTTAGGTCCAGTATGCTTTGAACTCATTTTCTGCAAAGTTATTCTCTTGATAACACGATTGACCTTTGAGTGGCTGCCACACATAGATTAAAGGTACAGCAAACCTACTCTTAAAAGTATCCTACTTCAAAACCCCATCAACTCGCTCAAATCAGTACTTGAAAACATTCCCATCCTGACAGCAAAGGCTCAGTTGGATGGAGGGAATTAAAACCACTGTAGAATGGCTTGTTTCTAGTTCATGTGGTTAACGGTAGTTAAATCTTAAACTTGTGTGGAAATAAAATTACAGCAAGATAAACAATATGAGCAGAGATGTTCTCAGTCAAAACTGTAAAACAAAAGCAAAAAAAAATGTATATTGCCGTTTGAATCTAACTTCGTGGCGTTTAATTAAAAAATAATGATGGATTATGTATCAGATACTGTAGATGTCCATCACAACTGTCCTCAGAATCAACAGCTATCAATACTTTGTCTGCACAGAGCACTTGTTGTGTATCTCCTTTTCTTCAAAAGTCCTTAGTGGGTTAGTTGCTGCTCTATGTACACAAAAGGGCACGAAATTCTGTTTCAACAAAATGAGAAAACACTAGATTTACAGGATAAAAGCTGCAAGGCAGAGAAAAAACAGTGTAAATTAAATTTTGCAAATGCACCTGGGATGTAGAGAAAACATGCACCCTCACGAGTTGTATCTCTTTCTTTCCATAAAGCCTGTTTAGTCCATTTGAAGTAAGAAAATGTCTTATTTTTTCTGTGCTATTAATATGCTAGATATAAGATTTTTTTTTTAGGGCAGGGACATTTTCTATGCCTTAATTGGACAGCTGACAACAGAGAGATGACAGACAATAACAGGAGAGAGAGGGAAAGTGACATATAAAACAGACACAAAGCAGGGACATTGCAGTTAACGGTTGGAGCTTTAACCCCTTGGCCACCAGATCCATCCCATAGCTTTTTAGATTTTTAAGTCAAAATGATGGACTGATGAACATTGGGAAACAAAATAGGACCCAGAAATAACCCTTGAGGTACACCAATTTCATCTGTGAAGAACTTACTATTGTCTAAGAAAGAAACAAAACATTTCAGGTCAGTTCCTCAAATGTATTGGTTAAAAACGGTAAGGCTACTTCCTGTCGGCTAAAACTGCAGGAACATTTAACATTTACTTAGGGAGGAACCTTTTTTTAATGGTAATTGGGGGTACAAACAAAAACAAGTGTTGGAGAGTGACTGTTTTAGAGCCCTACTGCAAACACCAAATTACATATGCATGCACGTTATTTTTCCCACATTTTTTGCTCTGCTGTATGGAGCAGAATCACTCAATCAGAATAATTAGGGACAGAGCCGGCGACCGCTGGAGGTCCCTTTTGTTTTTGCTTCGTTTTTTATTCTTACCTATTATTATTTTTAGCGCCTTTTTGCCCCCTGAACATGTACGAAAACTCAACTTTATTTGGCAAAGTTGTCAGGCCTGGTGAAAAATTTTATATTCTATGCGTCACTTTTTGGTCGGTCACTAGGTGGCGCTACTATTGAGAAAAGTATTTTGACTTTTTGGTTACTTAATTACTTCTGCATAGTTTGTCACACATTCAAAAACCTTATATCCACGTGTTCAGTGAATGGAGCTGAATCTCCCCATATATGCCCCGCCCACTTCCGCCTATACATTTATTTCGTTAGAGCGCGAAATGTCCTTAAACTACTTTTTCGTGTTCCTACTACACCCTATTTCCGATTTGCACCAAATTTTTCACCTAGCATCTGGGGAACGCCCTGGCAAAAAAATGTATTTGAACATTTTTGAAATTTCAAAAAATAAGCACGCTATAAAATTAAGACCTGTAGATTTTTCGTCAAAAAAGGAAGTGGACCATTTCTCCACATTGGTATGTCCGATTGACACCAAACTTGGGTCCATAGTTCCTCATGTCTTCCTTGGGCACTGTGCACAATTTCAGGCCATCGCCACTAGGTGGCGCTCTTTAAAGTGAAGAAGTTTATATCTCTGCAACGGCACGTGTGATTTAAATGAAACTTGGTGCCCATAGCTCCCTGAGGCTCACCTAAAAAGGAAAAAAAATCACGCCATAAGGTGGCGCTCTGGTGGCGGTGTAAATCAGTGTGCAGAGACTGTAATAGTTATGAATATGAAATTCACAGGGTACGTGTAGACTGGTGCCTGAAGCTCACATATCAAAAATCGTGTTTGTCGTGTTTGTAGCACCCCCTATAGGATAAAAAAAAAGCAGCCCCGGCGCCACGTTTCACCGATATGTACGAAACTCGGTAAGCACGTGTAACATGGTGAGACGTACAAAAAAGCCTCTCGGACCCATACCCCAAACCCCACAGGAAGTCGGCCATTTTGATTTTTATTTTCACTTTCAGCTAACTTTTCGCGTTGTATTTGAACGAACTCCTTCTAGGGAATTCATCGGATCTGCTTCAAAATTGGTCAGTACAGTCAAAAAATGGTGCTGATAAAAGTTGTGCTATTTGTGCATGTACATTAAAGGGCGTGTCCGTGGCGTGGCATCAAAGTCAGCCATTATTTTTTATCGGATCAACTTCAAATTTAATCATCGCAATCTAAAGACATTCATGATTAAAACTTGTGCTATTTACAACATTCCATCATACGGCGTGCCCGTGGCGTTGTGTTGAATTTCGACCATTCACCATAAACAGATAGTACTCAACTTCAGTGTACAATGTCTAATCTCCACTAAACTTCACATATTCTGTAACAGTCCTAGCCTGAACACATCCTCACAACTTCAGTGTACATTATCTGAAACTTCACGTTTGATAAGAGTCCCGCCCTGAACACGTCTACATGACAATATTCAGACATAGTGATAGCGCCACCTACTGGCAACAGGAAGTAAGCGCTGTGTGGCGATTTTGAGCTGATTTACGTGAGATTTTCATGTCGTGGTCCGCACGTGTTACGACTGCACGTGACGCGGCCGCAGCACGCCCAACGCTGCTTGCAGCTTTAATTTATTCTTGCTCTTTGTCTAAGCTGTTAGTGTTGGGAGATCTACAAGTTGGCAGCCTGGATTGTCAGAGCAATAATTAGTGGAGGATGTTTTATAAGAGTACTTAAGAATGCAATGTTTAGTTTGATGCAATTATTGGAATACATTAAAACAGTATGCTGTGTGCCAATCAGTACATTGTAATTTGCACATTTCAATAAGGCAGGGAAACGCAGCAGGACTTTAGGCAAAAATGTCTGTCAAATATTGAGTCATGAGCTTTAAAACGGCACTCAAATATTAAACGTGGAAAAAGCTTTAGCACCGTTTAAGTGGAGTGCTAATGTAAGATAATCATTAGTCTGTTCGTTCTCTAATCCATTCCTCTTGTTTCACAGGATGAAGCCACCAAATCAGGAGCAAAGACCAAAAGGCCAAAAAGCAAGAAGAGTAAATAAATTCAAAAGGAGGGTAAAAAAATACTTTTATTAAAACTCATTTTCACATTATAGTGAAAAGGTTGTTCTTATGCAATTCAGATGTGTCTTAATGAAGACAAACAGGGATTTCTTGCAATTACAAATAATTTATTCAACATAATTACAGTATTTAAAGGTCTTTACTGTGAAATTGTTATTTCAGCTGATCGCTTTAACTCTGAGAAGCCTTGAAATTAAATGTTTACAGTACATGTTTTCATTAAAACAATCAAACTATGAGCTTTGTACAGAAAATATGACTTTATCATCAGAAGAATGTGATGTTTTGTACTTATATAATTACATCCATCCCACACAAGGGTTATTGATCCTCTTTATTAGAGAGCAACATAATCATTACACAACTTGAATAAATTATTTTGTCCGGAGAAGAAAAATTACACGTTTTTTTCACCATTCATTTTAAAATCTGTCTTGATGTTGATGCTCGAAGTCTTGTCCACATAAGAGTTAATTCAGCTTGCAGCCAATTCTACGTGTGAATGAAATTCATACACAATTCATTCAGCGTTTCCAAGAAATATGATCAGACATCACTGCTCACCAAGATGAGGTTCACCAACACAAACGCTCTCACACTCACTCACATAATTCACATGTCTTTTCAATGCGTTTGATATCCACTTGAAGCCTTCTAAATATTCAACTTTTCACAGTTGTGTGTCCTATCAGAGCATTTACCTCACAGCGGCTCCTGTGGGATTTTGCCTCACCTCTCCATTTTGGTGTCACTCGATCCCTGGAAAGACACGGTCTGCATATTAACCACTCCAGGGTGGCTTGAGGCAGCAGAGGACTGCTTTCTAAAAATACCCGGGGCTCATCTGGGCACAGTGCAGTTTCGTTTTCACTGCCACAACCCGACTATGCGATGTAAGAAAGTTGACTCTTATCTGTGTTCAGTATCGTTAGGGAATAAAACTGATGGTTTGATCCAATTAGGGCATTTCTTTTGAATGTGAACACAAATTACACACAATAGGCTGAGATTTGTCCCATGTCTGTGTACAAAGCTGTCTGTTAATTTCATCCATTGAGAATAATTACAGCTAATTCATTTAGAGAGTTGTTTCTCCCGGACAAGCTATCATCCCACTGAACTCATCATCTCAGCCTTTAATCATGTTTTTTTAGAGGCTTGAGAAGAACTCATGGAGCTAATTTCATACTCGATGTTAAGGATAGTAATGATCCCACTTAGGAGATTTCAAATTTGATCAATATACAGTTTTTCCTGCCGTTGATTGTTACATCATGCCCTGGGAGAACTTTGGTGGAGTCTGGCTCAAGACTTTCATTGTTACAGCAAATTCCAAAAATGTAAATACTGTATCTTTTCAAAGCATGCAAGTACAGAACTCCAAAGTGTTAAAAACTGACATCAAGTGTAAAATATATGTGAAATAATCTGGGAAATTGTTAAAACTCAACTCATAAAATATTATTTGTTATTCATTAAATGTTATTCATCATTTTTACATTCTAATGTAAAAGGAAAGTTCAGTTTATAGGGAAAAACAGTAAATTCATTACAGAAATTATTTGAAATGTAATTTTCATAATGTCTCATTTTATTTCATAATATCACTTTTCATGACAGTTGTGTTGTGACCACTCTCTCAGCTCTCAGCCAATCATGTTGCCTCAGCCTCTTTAAAGCTAGCAAGCTCAACAACGGCTACCAGATTTAGTCAGCTAGCACCAATAAGTTCAAGTAACAACAATGTCGAAGTAATTCTGGCCGACCAACTAGCTGCTTCTGTGAATAAACTCAGTACTCTAATATCGCTTTTATTTAGCCTAACAAGGCTGCAATTTAGTCTATATAATTAAAAAGGGCTGCACATGCTGCCTACCACAAGTTAACGGCGACAGCTAACTGGGTAATTCAGAGTTACTTCCAGGGGCGCCCCCGGAAATTATTCATAGGGGTGGCCAGATGGGGCCACTGGAAATCCTGGGGTGGCACACCAAAACCACTTGACGGCGCGTGTGCGTGCTAGAACTGAGATGTGTATGGAAGAGAGAAGATGTGTAGTAGTGACCAATTTATATCGTGTGCACAGTCTTTGTGTCAGTAAATAAATCCTCGGACCAAAGTCAAATCCCTGTTTATTTGCTCTCCACCTGCAGACAGAAGGAAAGGGAGTTAACCCCGAAGCTGCAGACGGTTTCAGCCCTGGAGAAATATAACATCCAGTCTCTCCTGTGTGTCTGACTTCGGTCAAAACAGAACAGGAAAGGTTAACACAGGGGAGGGGGTCTGAGTGTGACAGTGAAGGTGACTGGCTGCGTTTGTTATTTGCGACTCGCCGGGGGGTGGGGGAACTGGCGGGGCCAGCAATTTTGTCAGGGTGTGCCATGGCCCCCCCGGCACCCACTTGATGGTGCCTTAGCTAGTTAGCAGTTAGCATGTGAGAGATTTATAACATCTCCACTGTCATTTATGAAATAAAACGTGTCTCTGGGGAAAAGGCAATTATGAAATTAAACATAGTTTTGTAGAAAAATAGAAAAAGAAAAATAAGAAAATAAGTGATGAAATATAATTTAATGATTATAAGTTTAGTTTTAATAATCTCAAATAATTGAAACTTTTTTCGCTTAATTATTCACAATCGCCTATTTATTTAATGTCTTAATTATTGTTTATTATTATTATTATTATTATATTTAATATTATATATACATATATATTTCCAGAAATTTCGAGTAGCTATGTGTTGATTGTTTATGTTGAGCTATGAGCTTTGTCAAGTGGACTTCTGGGAACAATGACCTCTGAATGACTTGATGCTTGGTATAAATATGTATCTGCAGATGATGACTGGCTCCTCGCTTGCAGACATCCTTCTGGCTGCAGCTCAGATCATTTCATGTCGGTCTGCTTCATGCGTCTGGACCACTTCACCTTTTGATTGTAGACTTCAGCCTTTGATCAGTTGCTGGGCGGACAAAGAAGCAAAACGTAAAGTCCACAGAAATCACCCGAGTTAGACCGGAATTTGTCTTGCCTCCAAAATAAAAGCGTAAGCATTTGACGCCTCTTTGTTTCTCACACAACACTCACATGCGGGGAATCTTTACTGTATTTTGCATTGGTTTTGATCTGGTAAAAAAACTGGGATATTGTTATAGTCTAAGATGTATTTACACAGGCTTGCAGACATTTGAACTGTCAGTTCAATTTGGCTGCCCTTTAGGCTACATGTTGGCTTTGAATACCATGTTCTCTGAGGGCATATGTTGAGAAAACAGTCAGTGTAATTTAACACGTTAAAAAAACATTTTCAAATGCTGACAGCCTTCTTTGTTCTAAAAAAAACGTTGCAGAAATGCGTTTATTTTGAAAATATTACCGGATATGGTAGTTATTTTCTACTCTGGTAGTCTTGACGTCGGTAACAAAAGCATCTGTGCGCTCCGAGGCTCCCGCACATGATCCTGCACTGTTAATAAAGCAACTGAGTAGAGAGAGGAGAGAGCACCCAGAGGATCTACAATTAGTATTACTACTACTACTACTACTACTACTACTATTATTATTATTGCTATTAAAAAATTAAGCTTTCATTTAAACTTGTGTCTCTCCCAGTCACAGAACTCCTCTGGGGAAAATGGAAGATTTGGGGAAAGTATTTCCATTTAATGTCAGGTCTTCAGTCATGTTTGACTCCTTGGTAAAGTGGAGCGGAACGTTTGGGCGCGTAATCGGACTTGTTCGTTGTTCCCGTGAGTGAAATGAAAAAGGTCTGCAATGATTTTGGCTTTGAATTAACTATGGGTGCGCACATCCTGGAGTCCAACTCCAGCGGCAACTTGACTCCCGCGGTGTCCGAGGCTGGGACCGTCCTCCCCGGCTACCTGGCGGTGATCTTATCGGTCCTCATGGTGACTCTGGTTGTCGTTGTGGTGGCTGGAAACGCGCTGGTCATCATGGCTTTTATTGTGGATAAAACCCTGAGAAATCAAAGCAACTACTTCTTCCTGAACCTTGCTATATCTGATTTTCTCGTGGGTGAGTTGGTGTCTCTTCTTCTTCTTCTTCTTCTTCTTCTTCATCATCTCTGTCAGTTCGCTCAAATGTGTCTCTTTCAAGTCTTTTGTTCCTCCCTATGAATGAAACCCCACTAAAAGGCTATCTGCCCACGCCCCAAACACATTGTAATTTCCCTACAATATAATTACAGCGTGTCACTACAGTTCATTGGCGAGTTAATAGTGACCTTACCGTCCTTTCTGCTTCATTCATCCATCACATTACCATGGAGTATTATGTATGTTTGTAGCATCCCTCAATTTTATGTGTGTAAGTCATTCACACCGCCCTCATTGTGCTCCCCTTATCTGTAGCAATAGATACATTACACGCCTCTCTTTAATGGAATAATCTCTGCAGGGGTCTGTGTTTGTGACCAGCAGCAACCAGTCATTTATTTCTCACAATGTAATGGGTCTCACATCCAGACTGTCAGGAGGTCTGGAGAGGTGTGAATGTTAAGTATTGGTTGAATCATGATGCAGTGTGTATGTATGTGTGTGTGTGCCTCTTCCAGGTGCCTTCTGCATCCCGGTGTACATCCCGTACAACCTGACAGGCCGGTGGATGCTGGGTAAGGGTCTCTGCAAGGTGTGGCTTGTCATGGACTACCTGCTCTGCACCGCCTCAGTCTTCAACATTGTCCTCATTAGTTATGACCGCTTCCTGTCAGTCACAAGAGCAGTAAGTACAGGCTGCGCAGGTGCTCATTACCACACACACACACACACACACACACACACACACACACACACACACACACACACACACGTAACTGACATACTACCACAGGCAATTCTACAATGTGTCATTCTCCAGGGCAGTTCGCTCTGCAGTGAGAAGTCATTGACATTCACAGTTTTATTCCTTTAAAAGGGTGTCTGGCTTTAATCTATTATTTTGTCCAGTCAATCTGAACACAGAGCGTGGACTGCCTGGTTAATTTGATAGGTAAATATTTTAAACGCAAACATTAGCAGGCGACTCAGCAGTCTGTAGGGATGGGTATAATTTAGATGAAGGGGCACTTCACCGACTTTACACACATCACGAGGAGTACTACCCCTTCTATAAAGTATATGTCTTTTTGCTCTGGAGGAGCTTTCAGAGTTTGAAAAATAACCCTAATGATATCACCAGGGTAAAGTCATTCTGGGATTTACTTACTTTTAAGTGGTGTGGGGTTTGGAAGAATGGGAATTTAGGAGTAAGGCTGCACAATTCATCAAACTATTATCCAAAACACAATATGGCCAATAAGTGCAACATATAAATTGCAGGAGCTGCAATTTTTTGATAAAGGTAAAATGTCCTCCACCTCCAGACCCCAACAAATGTCACATCATCATGATTTTAGTTGATTTAGATTAAATTGTTATCGTTTTTTTCAATGAAAATAAGAAGTGTGATGCAAAAATGATTAATCCCACTAATCAATATGCAGCAATAGGATTTTTTTTTTTTACCATATCATGCAGCCCTATGTAGGAGGCAGGAAGTAGCAGGTGTAATGAAACACGCCTCAGAGTTGCATTATAGGAAATGTAGGATCTAGGCTTTTTGGAGCTTGACTCAAGTAAAATTCAGCATATCTCGCTCAATGCTAATTCACCTTTGTCCATTCTTCTATTTGATCTGTCTCTTGAGAGTCCCCCAAATACACAGATACACATACTGAGTAGGTGGAGTGTGCCTTTTTAAAGGAGGCTGATATAATTAGTTGATAATTTGCCCCACATATGGCCAGTATTGGTTATCAAGACAACACGTTCATTTGTGCTTGATTGGCCTAAAACTGAAATGTCTCCAAGTGGATCATTTGTATGGTCAGTGCCTGTGTCACTTTTAATTTACTAAATGTGTTTGATGCCACATTTTAAGAAAAGTACATCTCTTTGCTTGTGGTCTATTGTTTGATATCAGTAGCCTAGTATGAAGTCTTATTTATTTATTCATTAATTTTCAATCTGTAGAGAGGAGGATTTCTCTCATTTACAATGGAAATGGGGAGTATTTTGCTTTTGTAATGACCACTCAAGACTGGGGCCAGAGCCACTTATTAGCATCATGAAGTGGCTCTATTTCATTATTTATTGACTCAGAGAAGTGGATTTATTTAAGTTGCTTTTTAACCACGGTCACATTAGCAACATCATTGTGTCACAGTGACATACCCAGCTGTTGCAGCCGCAGAGAGACATTTGACGGTTTATGGCAAAGAAAAGATAAAATACAACACCAATAATAAAAGAGAGAACGTTACATAGTGGAGCCTTGCTCAGTTATAGGGTTCAGACTTGTAGCGAGGAGGAGGTGAAGTGAAAATGGAGCGAGTGCGAAGAGAATGGGCAACGACGAGGGAAGAGTGGATCGGGAGAAACCAGATGTCTCTTTCACGCTCTTATGTTGCATCATTGAATGTGGTTCTCAGCCCGACATTCCCCTTCTCTCTTTGGCTTCAGTGACACACCGAGGAATAAGGGCCTCATGAGTGGGTTTTATTTACAGCATCTCTCTGCTGCTCTGAGGCATCACAATACAAACAGGGCTTCATTTGAACAAGACACTGAGAGCAGAAGCAAGAGCGTTTGTCTGCCTGTTTGTATGTGAGCAGCTGTGGAGGTTTGAAATGTAACCAACAAAGTGTTATTGTGTGTCACTGTCAGTCACAGTTGTGCCTCTCTTTTGACGCAGGTTAAATACAGAGCACAGAGAAACATGACCCGCCAGGCTGTGTTCAAGATGGTGGCGGTGTGGGTGCTGGCCTTCCTCCTCTACGGCCCCGCCATTATCTTCTGGGAGACAGTCGTCGGCCAGAGTGTCGTCCCTGCTCACGAGTGCTATGCCGAGTTTTATTTCACCTGGTACTTCCTGCTCAGCGCTTCTACCTTTGAGTTCTTCACCCCGTTTGTGTCTGTGGCTTTCCTCAACCTCAGCATTTACCTGAACATCCATCGCAGGAACAAGAGCGGAAGCGCCTGTGCCGAGGACGACGCCAAGACGCAGAGGATCAGTAAGAAGCACAGAGACGGAGGAGGCTGGTCTGTGTTTTTTGTGAAGACTCGGAAGGTGTCGTCCAGTGAGCCTACCGCTATCTCTGCAGTTATCGAGGACGACGATGTCCTGTCCCCTTCTTCCAGCGGGGAACCTAATACCAGTCAGATATTCATGCAGAGGGAGAAGTTCTCTCCTAACAGAAGAAACTCCAGGCTGTTTCAGCACACGGCCTCCTGCATGGCGCCTGGCCGCAGAACACAGGGATCGCGTCTTTCACGAGACAAAAAGATAGCAAAATCTTTGGCCATTATTGTGTGCATTTTTGGGATTTGCTGGGCTCCTTACACTCTACTTATGATTATTCGTGCCGCCTGTAGTGGTGCTTGTGTGGCGGACTACTGGTACGAGATTACATTCTGGCTTCTGTGGCTGAACTCTGCCATCAACCCGTTCTTGTACCCTCTGTGCCACAGCAGCTTTCGAAGGGCTTTCTCAAAGATACTGTGTCCCAAAAGACATTCAGTCCAGCCTCAGATTGAGGCTCAGTCTTGTTAGATGAACTCAATTGCACTTTCATGTTTTATGAATGCAGTAACTATTGTTGGTCAAACACTGTAAAAAACTAAAATCCATATACTGTTCTTCCATCACAGAAATTCAGTTTTCAAAAATAAGCATTAAAGTGAGTTGCGCGAGGATTGTCACAGCATATCTGACAGCAATACAACAATTCACCATACAGTGATCATGAATAAAACTTGCAGTTATAATATCTTTAATGACAGGGTAAAGCATGGGGACTTGTATGGCACCTTTAAAAGACATAATTGCCCTTGATTAAAGCGCTCCAAAGAGCCGATGTCAGATTTTTTAAACGGTGTACATCTTCATTTCAGAATGTATGCTAACCTTCATAGACAATCTCGGTAAGTAGGACAGGAAGGAGTGACGTGGTTTAGGCTTTCTCGCCACTCAGTTCTTTATGCACTGAAGGCTCCGAAATGATTACTTATGCATTCAGATAGAATTTGATGACCATAATTTAGTCTAAGATATTATATGAGAACTACAGCCCACCACGTTGTTAAATTATGGTCTGTCTGGATGAAAGCCAGAGGATGGAGGAAACGGCTTTAAAGAACATCCAGTTTTGTCACAGGGCTGCTGTGACAAGAAAACCTTTCAACTCCTATTTAGATCAAATTGACGTGAGGGAAGGATTTTATGGTCTTTTATGGTTTCATAAAGTTTCATAATCTCTCTGCACACAAAACCTTTTCACTCTGGAGTTTTAAACACACCGCTGTTAATTTGAAACAGAAGTCCATTTGTTTTCATAAAGATACTTTACAAAGCTTTTCATTGTGCAGTAATAGGATGATAAATGTGGAGTCCTCAAAGTTCAAATCACCTGAAAAACGAAGAAGAATGACCTGTATTTGTTTATGGACTACTGAGTGAACCTTTATTCCAGTGATGTTTTATTTCATTTTATCTGAAAAGTGGGCTATGGGCAGGGAGAATCAGCACTCAATCAGCACTTCAGTTGAAAAAGGTGTTCTTGTTGATGTTACAAATGTACAGCACTATAAAATGAGAGCAGCATTAAAACTTTTGTACAATAATATCTATGCCAAGCTAGATGGTTGTGTTCTTTAAGTGCAGTATTTATTTAAAGACTTGACTTGACCCAACTACTTGACTACTTTGTATCTTGGCTATGAGTGTGTGTCGGTGTCAGTAGCCAAAGAAAGAATAAAAGGAAAACTGCCTATAGGCTTTGTAAGTGTACATGTTGTAGAAGGAATAGTATAGGACATTTTGGGAAATACCACCTATTAACCTTCTTGCCAAGAGTTAGATGAGGAGATTGATACCACACACTGCAGCAAGCAACTGGTTCTCTTCCAACTATTCCATAAACATATAGGAAAAAGGAGAGAGACTGGAGGGAAATAACCACGTTTCTGGTGAGTTCAGTCAGAGGCGGAGAAACATAAACACACAGGCACATTTCCACACACACGGCTATTTTGTAAGCTAACGTCTAAACTGGCTGTTTGTCCAGTCCAGAGGTCAAGTCCCGAAATGCTGAACGACTGTTTGACATTTTTTCTAGTACCTATGATAAGATACAGTAAGACTGAGATGAGCTGGTTCAGGCATGAGTGGGTGGATAGGAATTTTGTTGTGCTGTGCTTGAATGGTTGTGAATGGATGTGTATGATACACAGATGGCAAATTACTGTTAAAATCACATCAAATATAAAGGAATATAAATGCTGCTTTAAAAGAAAGTTCCTAGAAGGCTGGGCTCTTCACGAAAGACTTTACACTGCAGGAAAATAAGGAGTTATTTTGGAGAATGCTGTCAAGCTTTTATTATCTGATAACAAGTACAAGATAAGTGTAAGGCGTGACAGAACTGCAGGGCATTGACCTTTGCTACATATTTCCAGCATAGATGAACAGAAACAAAATACGTCCGGAAAAGCATCCTTAGGGATTTAAGACCGCCAAGAAACAACAGTATCGCTCTGCCCTGTGGGAATTATGTGGGACATTGTACTTGAGAGAAAAAACAGAGTCTTGTTGAGGAGACTGTTGAACCATGGGAGACACACTGTAGCAGCCAACCCATGGTGTTTAGAGAAAAGTCATACCAACTAGATGATAATAGCTGTTATTTTGCCTTCTTCCTGTCAACATACTTCAACATTATGTCTTGAGAGTTGAGTACAGTAATATATCTGCATACAGTAACAGCAATAAAAAGCATGCAGTGTGTGTAAATTGTTTAGATGGCAAGTTCATAGGTTCAGGAGTGTGCCATTTTTAACAGAGAAACAGATGCAGAAGGTCAGTATCTTTTGAAGCAGTTAAACTCTGGAGCAGCTCCCATCATCACATTTTCCATCTCCACTTCAGACTGTGAATACAACACACCACATTAAGTGGCTTTTGTTTTAAGAAAGTTTTTACTCTTAAAACACCATCCAGAAAAACAGTTTTTGTCATCTGCGGTGGCGAGATCTCTTGAAGATAAATAGGCGTTTCAGTCTATGCGGTAGCGTTATTCTCCCATTGACCCCATTTAATCATAGTGGTTTAAACGGTTGCTGTAGGTGAGGATACACAGTTTGTGGCCGTAAAAGCAGCTGAAAAGTGAAAGTGCTTTCCCTAAACAGATCCAAAAAACGCGGACACGACTGTCATACTTGCTCCTCAAAATCCATCTGTTAGAATGGAAATAGACATCTGAGTGGAGGAGTACAAGTGGCTGTCCCCTTTCTCCCTCCCAAATCGGGTGACAAAGTCAATTTGGAGGCATTTCTTAAAAGGTCAGCCAAGGATGAGATGAATAGACTGTGGTTTAGGTGACCTGTGCAGAGACGCAGGTGGACTTGCAAATAGAAAACAAATTGCTCAGCGCGAGTATTGGCATTGTTTCTGAGCGCTGTGGGAGACCTAAGAACCAGCATTCACAGCCTTTCAAAAAGAAAATTGGAAGCAGTTCACATCCTTCTGGTTCAGGTTTGGATTGCTCTGGGACACAAATATGGTGACAGTAATATAATTGTTATTGAACCAGATATCTGGTGGACACAAAACCAAATGAAATCCTCCAGGACTGGAGAGTGAACACACAGACCTCTGGCTTTTTCTTGAGCAGATGATTGTTTGACAGAGATTCACATACAGGGAGCGCAAAATGCTGCTCACCACAAAAGACAACATGTGTTTGGAAGATGATAAGCTACGTACAGACACAAGTCATCTGGAGAAAACAAAAGAAATGCAGTCCCTGAGAATAATTCAATAGGGAAGCTTTTGAAAGCAGCCTGTCCCACTGCTTGCTTTCTTCATTTCGGGGCTAAACTTCCCAGGTACAATATTCACTGTAAAAAAATAATGAGCTGCTTTTGAAGGTGTATTACTGATGAAATATGAAAGGTTTTCTCCAAGAAATCATTCCAGTCAGGATGCAGAGTTGATTTAACACTTATTTCCTCCTGTATACAATACCACACCAGAGCCTGCGGGGGTTATGAAAAAGACACTTCCTGGCAGCCACTGATGCTGTTATCAACCCTTTAGCAGGATTCACACGGCGTGGAAAAATGTTTTTTATGTAGGTGTAGTTTCTACATCCTGAGAAGAACTGCCTGTAGGAAACAGCATCCTGTAGCTCACGCTCACTGAGGTCAATGTAAAAAAACATCAAGATTGCTTTGCCAGACTTCTTAATTAACCATCATGCCCTGAACATGCTAATTGCCTGAAGAGAAATACTAAATCAAACATGACCTTTTCAGTCATTTCAGCATTGTATGTATCTGTTTAACTTATCAATTGCTGCCAACAACAAATTTAACTTATTAAATTAAAATTGTATGTCAGGGCTTATGAAAATGTAAAATCTCACACATACTCAGCTACACGACTGTCTCCACGGTGTCAGGCTGAGTTGCGTCCAGTGAAGACACACAAACAGGAAACAACCCACTTGTCTTTCCTTTATGTCGCTGCCAGGCAGTTCCTTGGAACTATTTGTTAATAGTCATGAACCTCAGTTGTCTCTTTATGACCACTGACAACAAATAATGATTCATGTACCCTTTTCCTGGTTTCATTATTTTAAAACAGTCTACAGCCATGCTCTGTGAGGTTGTACTTAGGGGGACATCAACACGTTTACCAAATGTGTCAACAAATGTGAGCCTCATGGTGGCGTTAGAGGAAAAGTCAGGGGATTCCCAAATTCAGTAGGATTTATCCTCTGGGCACCATGAATGTCCAAATACAACATTTTATACCCCTCCATCGAGTAGTTGCTGGGGTCTTTTTTGCTTGACCAAAGTGGTAAACCAACCTAGAGCCAGGCTGCTTGCCTGTAGAGCAATGATTAGTCAATTACTCAATTGATTGTCAATGATTAGACTAATTGTCAACGTACTGTAATTTTTTGGGAAAGTGTCCAAATCTTCAGATTTTAGCTTCTCAAATGTGAAAATATTCTGGGGGGTTTTTGCCCCCTACGATAGTAAAGTGAATATCTTTGGCTTGTGGACAAAACAAGACATTTGAGGACGTCCCATTTGGGAAACAAATAATTTTTTCTTAAATTTTTTGGACCAAACAATTAATCAATTAATTAAGCAAATGATTGACAGATTATTCAATAATGAAAATCATTCTCGGTTGTAGCCTTACTAGCATGGCTAAAATAATAAAAAAGGAATAAAGAGCTGCTGTATCTGTATGACAGAGCATAGGCATTTTCTGACCTTCAGTTATGACAGCTGATGCTGATTGATTGTTGCTTATATATCACTTAAATATTTCCAATAAGATGACCTTTCCTGGTGATTGAATAAAATGTGTTGCACTGGAGAAGTTGTGTCTATAGAAGGAGAAAGAGCTGTCCATCTCAGTAGAAAAGTCATATTTTGGCTTTGATACTTATTGCATCGAGGCTTTCAGTGTACAACCTTTAGACAGGAGAGAGGAGTACTAGATGTCCCCGCCACAAAATCACTTTAATGAATCGGCGTTTCTTGTTTTTTGTGCCAACTACTGTTCCAAATGAAGGATGAGGGGAGGCACTGAACTATGCATCACAAAGGAATTAAAGGTAGAGCTGAAATAACCACGAATACCTGGAGTGCTTTTTTAAACTCTTTTATTTTTCTCAAAATGTCATATTCACTTTCGGCAGCAGCCAAATTACACAGTTTCATTCAGTTTGGTGGCGGAGTACCTTGCTCAAGAAACACAACAGAGTTTCTTTCTCTGACTACTTCAACTACAACATCACCTATCATACCTTTTTTTTTTTTAAAGGGCAAAGCAACTAAGTTTGACATTATTAAGCCGTACCCCAATTCACCAATATCAATACCAATACCAATACCATCTCCATGTATCATTATTAGGTCCCAAATAAATGAGTTTTTCCACCTCTGTTATCTCCATCAGAGTTTACAACACCTGGGATTTTGCACTTCATTCAAAGGCTTTTTTCCAGTCAGGAGACAATTTACGAGGGATAAGGTTCGATGGGTAATTTTGATTTGAGAGCAAGCCGATCCTCTAATGTAATGCTCCTAATGCTCCCTTTTCTCCATTCCAGAAAGATCCTATTCCCAAATTTAGACTGAACCATCCAGGGCCACAGATACATGAATAATAAAAGAATGAGTATGATCAGGTTGCTAAGCAGTCTATTTGACAAACAAAGCCTGACACTGTAATATTGCTGCTGATGTCTGTGGCATTAATACTGCATTTTCTTCCAGTTTGCCCATTCAAGACCAAAGATAACAGTGTAGAGAGGAAAACTGAAGTACACAGTGTTTTTCGGTGCTATTGATTTGCTGTAAGTCGTGTTTATTCAACAACAAAAAAAAAAACAACACGGAGGTTTGACATCTTTATATGACAGCTGGTTATTTGTCTAACAGTACAGATAGACGGACAACATCCTGCTCCTCTTGATTACTCTCTGAGCTATATGTCTGCTGATCTGCTTACACTGGGTAGATTATGCAAATACACAGACACCAACTAATTTAAAATAATCGCGAGCAACATTGATTTTTTTAGTTTATTTAAAGAGATTTTCTTATATTACATTGTTTGGCTGTTTATTGTATTCATGTATTTAATTATTTTGTGTTCGTTTCCATCATGTTGTTTCTGCTAACCTTTTCCTACTCTGTATTTTGACTGTAAATATTTGCAACATAAATTGTATTATTATTATGACAGTCA